GTGGTGGTGGTGGTGGTGGTGGTGGTGGTGGTGGTACATACATAGAGGTGAATGAGCAGGTGGTGCCAGTGTCTGGCGGGTACGCCGTGAAGGGGGGCATGTGTGTGAAGCTGCGGCGACCGGATTATTGGACGTGAATTAACACGATTCACTACATGTTTAAGCACACGTCACTACCATGCAATTGTCTTGAAACTATGGTAACAATCATTTCCAGTGGAACCTGTTTCTAACTACATGCTGAAGAATTGTATCACAAATTCGGCACACATGTGAATAAGGCTAGGGTGACAAAAGAAGTTGCATTGGTGCATTGGGTTTTAGTGGTGCATGGCTGGAACTACAAACACCCTAGAATCCACTTTCAAAAGACAGTCGCAGTTAAAGTGTAGACGGGTTGGTGATGATGGGCCATCATATACCATAAAAAATATCTATCGGTATATCATGCAAGAATTCGATGGAAGTGGTCACTTAACTAGACCATTTTTAACGGTTCCAAGTAATCGAATCCACTTACAATTGAACTGTACAGATTTCCATTTATCTAACTCTTTTCAAATAACATAGGTTAAGAATCCGCTGAATGACCTGTGCACGTTTGAGGGCAGCATTCACAGTGAAATCATGACCGGCTGTATTCCAAATTCATCTGAAGCGTTTTGGTTACAAGTGAACCCACGAATTTTCTGACAAACATCGCTGATGTAAATTTGTGTGGACAATCCGTCATGCAAGAGGAAGACGCCATTTGTAAGGGTTGGTTTACTGATTTTAACAAAGTCAAGTGGAAATGAAATCGAAGATAGTCAGTTGCCCTGCTAAATGATAAAAATTTAATTGGGTTTTATAAACGACATTCGCTTGCGCCATTGTCTCCGACTTTACCATTCAAAGGAAAAAAAGATTTTTGCCTATACTTCTGTCTATTGTTGAGTTCAACAGGGATTTTTTTCTTTACGAACGCATGGATATTCGCGCACATTACAAAAGTATAGATTATTACCTAGTAAATAACAAGAAAAATTACACAGAAGGCAAGGTTGTTTTCCAATTACTTTCACTTATGATTTTGCTCTGTTTGATTAGTCTTGAATCGATCACGCACTTGATAAAACTTGGAACCCTAACTCTAATCAAGCTGTGCTGTAAATTATTTAGTAGCACAATTCATGGAGTCTGTCTAATTGCAAGTTGTATTGCTGAAGAGGACATCCAGGCACATTACTATTTCTTGCTCAGTAGCACGACTTAAATGTGCTCATATCGTGACCCAGACGACGTTCTCAAGGCCACCAAGGCCTAGTAGGTTAATTGTCGCTTATAAACATACACTTGGCGTTCGCCTGTGACAGTGAGAGTCCTCTGCAAAAGGTCCTGTCTTGTCTCGCGTTAGTTTGGTGCGTCGCTGACTCATTCGTGCTCAGACAATGGATGGTTACAAAGAAGTCTGTAGTCGTCGACTTCTCGAGTAGACTGCTGGTTTCCCGCGTGTGGCTTAAAACACAAAAAGACAATGGATTTGCTTATCTATAATCGTAATTTAATGCACTAATGTGAGCTTATCCAGGACCTCACCTGTTTACTGTTCTAGTTATGTGTAATCCCACATGTAATAACGACCTAACCAAGCTGATTGGGACCGAATTAACCACTAACACGTATTTTAGAATGTATGCCAAAATAATGGACACGAATGAACCACCTAATCGTAACTAAGTATGCATTAATTCAACGTTGTTGGTTGTAAGAAAACTAGAGTAATTTTAAATAGGTTATTTTAATGTGCGTTATCTGCCAAGTTGCAGGGGGTTACAACTAACGCTTTCGACAACACTCAAGGCAAGAAAATAAACACAGTAGTCAATCCTAATTCAATTTGTACTTTATCAGTTTGCTGCTATCAGTCTCCATTCCCTCCACTACCACCAACTCAATGGATGCGTTGATGAGTTTAACGTTTTCAATCGGAAATTGTGTATTCTCCACAGAAACCCAGTAGTAGCGACTTTTGCCTTAGTGCTAATTGAAAAAGAAGTTAAGCTAATTTCAATTCGAGTTTCTCGAATTGGATTTTTGGATAGATGGCAATTATTCCGTGTTTGCAGGCACAAAAGACGACGCTCCCATTTTCTGCCACCTTTTTTGTCTTCAAGTATCTAACAATGCATCCGCTGATGCATGAACTCCTGCTGCCTTGCTTGTTTTGCAAGGCCAGGTGTTTTGTGTTGTGATGTGTGTGCGTTCATGTCAATCGTCATTGGGTTCCGCACTTTCCGTTGGCAATAACACGGAGAGAAAATTGGGGTTGTTATTGATAAGTGTCTAGGACAAGCAATGATTCGACACTTGCTTTAAGCCAACCAAACACAACAGTCATGCCGCGATTGCTTTGTGCTGAGTAAGGGGCATTTGTGTACCCTCGGTATTACCTGCAGGTGAGTTTAAATCAATATCTACCTATCTTTGTTCTTCTGTTGCATCTTTGTGTCACTCATTCCAGTTCTCCGAGTATTGCAACTAGTGAAACGGCATATTTTGAACTGTTGCTTTAATCTAGATGGCGTCTGTGGATTCCGGGGTATATGGTATTTTAGAAGTAGGTAAATAATCTACATAGCTGGTCCACAGCATGATGAAGTGGTCACGTGTATTTCTATGCAGACATCGACGAGCCAGATGTGAAGGCAGAGGTTGACACGTAGATGCAGAGATGGGTTTGCTCAAGTAACATAAAAGTAAATTAGTGTAGTCCAAATTCCAACCTTCGTAAAGGCATAAAAGGAAAATCCCCTTCCACGGCCCAGGTGGGCTTCCACACCGAACAATACGATTCTGGCACTTGAATTTGATAATTAGTTACAAAGCATAGGAAAAATTGTGCACAATGAAAAGACACCTTTGCTTGAATGAGACTGACAGGACATTCGACTTAAAGTAACACCGCCTATAGCCGCAGAATTCTTCTCTGAAATATCAGCTGGCACGTCATGTATTGAATAACTCTTGAAGGTTACAACTAAGAAATAATAAGATGCTGAATTCAACTCAACGAAAATCATGGTAAATGTACTCAAAACAAACACGTTGCCTCAATGGTTTTTCCATTTATAAACAATAGGCTCAATGGTTGTCACCTTTGCTGCACACAGATATTGTTTTCTTAAATCTATCTAGGATGCAAAAACAATTACGCCACATGCAGATTAACAAACGCTGCTCTACGTAACCTACTTTAATGCCTTTGTTGTTTTATGGATTCAAAGTCTTCACCACGTTGATTGACACACCAGACAGACATAAGTGAATTTGGTCAACTGATTGGCTGGAATGGTGGTTATAAGAGGGACTCAAGAACCCACTTGATGTCACTTGTGAACAGCTCCATTTCACTTCCAGAATGAAATTAATCCTCGTGTTCTGTTTGCTACTGCATGAAGGCGGACTCACAAGTGTCTTCATCTCAAGCCCTCAACTGTCCCAGTCTGACACGTGCGAGCATTTGAGGTGAGTCTCTTCTGATGACCACTGTCGACGTAGGTGTTAAGTCAACATCAAGCAGCCCTGTATCGTGTGATATTGACCAATGGTACTCTTGCGACTCGATTTATTGCAATTGATTCGATAGTATGTGTATTTACTCACTGCACGACAACGCTGAATTCGTCCAGTAGTGTAGATGGCAAGGACGACCAAGGCTATGGTGAAAGGGGTAGGTGATAGACTCTCAAAGTAATTGAGTCTCATTAACAGAGGCCGGGAGGATTGCCGTTGAAGTTCAGCCGATTTTCATTAACGTGGCATTCTCCAAACATTAGATGTTCGTAATTCCCCGTCAATAATCTCAAATATATTTTTCAACCAGGTTCATTTTGTGATTTTTACGTTGTAAGAAGGAGTGCTTGGGCGCGAAAATGTCTGCTTTGGTTTGATTCTAATCAAATCTCCTGTTTGCCTCATTTTAGATCTGCCATTGATCCAATCCTGCCCAAGGGATGCATGCCATGCAAACAAGGCGTTGCATGTGAAACTCCGTGTGCGTTGTTCAAACCTGCTTATTAGTATTGTGTTGTGTTTCGTCAACTACCTAATGAAAATGGTATCATTTCAAAGCGGAAATGTGTTGGGTTGATTTTGTGAGTGCCGGCGATTCACAGTAGTGGAAATTACACACACTTAGACGGCTGTCAGTGGGACCACACTGATTGTACTTCTGGGCTCAGCACGTTCGCTTTTGGGTGTCTCCCAGGAGAAATGCATGCAGCTTAGTACAGGAATCATTCTGATGACATGATCTTCAACCCAAAACGCTATCAATCTTGTAGCACTGTTAGTAGTAGTAGTGAGAAGAAGTTGGGCCGGATTAAGCTTTGTTTACCTTTTAGTAGTACGAGCTGACACGATGATATATGTGTGTAGATGCAGTAATTGTGTTGCTTTACTTACTACTCATTTACCTTTGTCCAAAAATGGGACACTCAATCAAATGTTCTAGTGTAAATGTGCTCAAATAGTAAAAATCTAGTAATGATGTTATCTGTTTTTGTCATAATCAAAACTGCAAATTCATGCATCTTTGTGTCCGTGTAAGCTTGAGGCGCGCGGATGCTGCCAATTCAGTGTCAGCATTTTTTCATAATAGACAATAATCTGCCAGAATTTGCAGCTCCGAGGTATGTAGTGCGACCACGCCTGCATGATCATACACAGGAGGTAACTCAGCTCATTGCCACTGACAGAGACCTCTGCGCCACACCAAATCATCCTCCTGCTGATTGTCAACGCGTGGAATACGTCATCATTCATACTGGCTCAGAGCCACCCTTCTTCAAGATTACACCTCAAGGGGTTATTCACTTCCAAACGGAGAGTGATTTTGATATCTGGAGATTTATTAAATCAGCTACATTCACAGTGGTGGCAAGAAACTACGGCGAGTTTAAAGACGCGAATGGATCGACGGTGGTACATGTGGAGAATGGAATTCCATATGGTGTTTTTGAAGTGCCGACACACGTAAGTGTAACTAGGCACCCTAACCGAACTTTCAAACCCATTAGCTTTAGTTGAAAAAACACAGAGTGCTTGAGACACAAAAATGGCCTTGATTATCTGCTTCGTTTGCTCCATCGATCTTCGATTTTGGGACTGGCTTGTATTTGTATCTTACGCATAGACGTCGTGTTTTGGTTTATCGTTTAACAGTGCATAAACGTGAATACGAAAGTTGGGTGGCACCAATGCATTTCTTGGTCTAGTTGATTTACAATGTCCAGATGCAACTTTAAGCGCAGGCATTTGAAATCGTTTTATAAGCACGAACTACTAATTATAATGATTGTGCACACTCATGTGGTTTCCCATGAACAGATAGCGTTTTGCACCGGACGGAAGAACACTCAAGTGTAAATTTTTGGTAGATGGATGCAGCCATGATCGAAAATTTCGATGGTTAGTTGCATTGAAACAGACGTGAACAACAAAACAAGGGATTTTGCTTATTGGTATTGGATAGTCTGCTGAATATGTAGCTTCTTGACTGCGGTCCTCTGAGTGGCAGGAAATCTGTCGAGACTAAAATATGCTTCTTACCTATTTAACTCGATGAATGCACACAAAGCACTACCCTTGTTTGAAGTTTTCTGTCACAGTATATGGGCCGCGATCTCGAGCAATGTCGGAGGCAATGACCCAGATCCTGGAAATCTCAATCACTCCAACGATTGTCAATTCGGCGACAGTCACGGTCGAAATGACCTCCGATGCCTTTTTCGAAGGCGTCTATCCTGCACGCGCACAAATGTCTGGTTTCAACGGTGGAATCACAGTTGAACCGAATTGCAAGCCGGTGTTGACGCGAAGAAAGTGCGTGCAATTTCATCCTATTTTGTTTGGGGCTACCGATTTTTACAAGAACCCTGAATCACCTATCATAACCCATCCGCAACCATCAAAGACAGGTAGATAACACGGCTTTTTGTCGGTCGCATAGGCAAATGAGTAGGTATTTACTGCACAACTGACTGATTCGATTCATTATATTTCAGCTGATGCCTGTTACAGACGGTGTGTTGACAGATCGATTGCTGGTTAAAATCAAATATCTACTTTCTACTGACCTCCAATCCAATTAGAAAATTGGACATTTGTTGGCATAACGTGTTAAAGAAGCCTGAGAGTCTAACGTGTTGATTTTTTGGTATTAATCAGAAGTTGGAAGTGATCAAGCACTGTGTATTACGCAACCTGCTCTCATCACTGCAAATGAACGATTCACGGAAATACTTTGATTGGTTAGTCGGCCAGCATTTGCTGCGCCCACACTAGCAATGCGATATGCAAGATTTTGGTTGAGTTTAACCACCACGATATAAGATATGGGTGTTTTGTGGTAAATCACGTAGATTTATTTGCTGATCTTCAACACGTCCAACTTCTATTTTTAATATTCCTATGCGTCGCGCAGGGGAGAGGTGAGATTGACACAATACGGAGTAACGTCGAGAACATCTGATGCGGTAATACGCTGGCAGATCTACCTCCAATTTCCATTTCCTGCTCCACCTTGTGTTTCCATCGACCTGGCAACTACGATAGAGGGGTTGAGCCACCTGCGAAACGTCGAACTGGAATTCACGAATCCCAAAGTTGTGGTGAGTTTGATTGGTGAAGCAGTCAAATCCCAACTTAAACTGTTAGTAGCGTTCACATTTGCGTGCTTCTGTTGCTCGAAATGGGCAAATGGGAATGTGCAGAAGCAACAAACTTGTAGACTAAGGTTTTCTACAGCAACATTCTTTGAAATAGAAACGCTATGCTGCTAATTTTGACGGTGCCAGATATCATCTTCACGGAAACCACTTCCAGCCTTTAATTAGGCTGCCATAACGGACGACAGGCATCAAAGGTAAACACGTAGCTACAAGCACAGAAATATGGTACAGCGATGTTCCACGGTATCGCCAACCGCGTTGCACATTGCACAGTCTCAGCACCATTCAAAGGCAATTGTTCAAAATCAGATCGTCGCATTGTGTCGCGTTAAATGCATCTATCGTGCAAATCACTCACTACGCTATGAAGACGGAGTGGGATTGCAGTTGGTCTTAAAAATGTAAAATATTGTATGGTCCTGTGATCTAGGAGGTGGCGCCATTGTAGTTCTATCATCAGAGGCACTTGCTTCTCCCTGAAGTAGCATCGGTGGAAGTTTGAATAATTGGCTCAATTTGCAACTGATTCATTCACATGGAGCAGTCGACAGATTTCTGATTTAATCAAGCAATGACCATTCTGCAGAGACTTCAACTTGGATTTATTTAATTTGCTCTTTTTCGTGTTTTTCACCTGCATCAGCCACGGGCTCATGGAGTCGCTGCTTTCACTATAGACCCTCTTGGGGTGTTTCCGCTGGGAGGAATCGGAACTTTCCGTGTCGTTATAAAACCGTTCGGGTTCACTCTCTCCGATTACACATTGGAGTGCCATGCTGAAGTTGCCGGTTCAGGTAAAAGGTTGCCGAGTAGACTGAGGTTCGGTGATTGGACTGCCTCACACGCTGTCTTCCCAAACGTCTACTCGACTCGCGGCTGGTGCGCAGGGAACTCGGTGAATTTTGGCAAAGTTTTTAGTCCTGGTAAGCCAGAAGTACCTGCTGCCACGATCTTGCAGTTAGTAGGCGACTTGGTGCACTGCCTGAAGGTGCTACTTCGCCGTGACATTTTTACTAGAAATGAAAGATCTTGAAAATATTCCACCAATTAAAGTGACCTTTTGTGTACAACTTGCGTAAATCAGCAGTCCTCTACGTCAAAATATCTTCAATGCATACAAATGTGTCGTTACAAAAGGCTTGCTTAGCCAGTAGTCATGCCTGTTTTGTTGTAGAAATTAAATTGCTAAAGTTACACACAGAAGACACAATTAAAAATATGGACTTAATAAATCATTGAATCAATCCTTATGGACAAATAGTCTGCATGACAGTGCAACTACAATGTGTGTGTGTGTGTGTCATCCTAACTACAGATCTGCGAACCCAAAATGACTGCAAAAACCTCTTTCAGATTCTCATCAACGCGGTATTTCGCTGACAGCTGAGTTGGCCGTTCTTGCCGATATCCCAAACAGCACTCGGGGAAGCGTCCAGTGTTTGCTTACGATGGACAAGGCTACTTCACGAGTTTTCACCATCGGCTTCACCACGACATCGGCCATACCTATTTTGCAGGTACGCTTTGTTCCTTCTCTTTTACTATTTGCAACCAACATTGAAACGGTGATGATTGTGATGCTGGTATGATGGACAAAACATGTACACAAACGCCGTGTTCTATCATCCATGTCCACTTGCCTTCATTGTAATGCAACTTAGAATTGAGCGAATAATGTCTAAAATGGTGGTTTAAATGGCATTGAAGTGTCAGGCGCATGCAGCCTGTTAATTACCTAGGCAGAATCCCCTTAGTGACAATAATATAGCAAACGTTGCTATGGTAGCCACACGTTTTTGTGTCTTGCGGAACTCTTCATGCAGGAAATGGGGTCTTGCAGTGTACAGAAGGAAAAACAAATGAATGTAGTCAAATATCGACAACCGGCCCTTCGAGGACAGAAGAATGTTTCACAGCCACTAATGCAACTAAAAGGAAACGTGAGTCTAAATAAACATGAATAATATTTTCGAATATCACGCAATTTGAAGCTATGTCAAAAGAAATGTGAATGAGGAAGTTAAGGTCGATTATATTTACGTTATACTCGGAAGTTCTGTCTTGATTCTCACCATTACCTCACATTGGCTTCTGAGGCGAATTAGCAAATCAAAAGCAGTAAAGCAGCATATCAATTTCCGATGCATTAATCAAATGGTGGTTTTAGATGTTAAAACTTCACAAGGACCCATCCGATCAAGATAAAATGGTCAATTTTTGACTGCGTGGTAAAACGTCAAAGCACAAACCTTGAACAACACTGTAATATCACGTGTCACTTGTTTCTTCACGCACTATTCCAAATGCCTGCCCCCTATTTAGCCACCTCCTTCGAGTTCATCGGCCTGGAGGCTTGAGGTTCTGGACGTGCTCAGGCGAACACCACTCAACAGACCACTTGGTCCGGGGGAGGTAGCACTGATTGCGTTTGAGTTCACTGTGCCACCATACGCAGCCGTGAGGGCATCGCCAACCATTCAGATTGAGGGCGGTGATGATGATGATGTCACACTCGATTCTCCACATATTCTCGCAGTCGACGAAAACATCTACTGGGGTGACAACTATCAGAATTGCATTACGGATGACAACATGTAAGTCTAATGCGTATATGTGGATGAATTTGGGTGTATTTTATTATTGTGGACCTACTTAAGGATGATATCTCAACTGGAATTTGATTTACCTATGAATCCTTGAAGCGCATAATTTCAAAATACTGGAAATTGTTTCCTTCAACGGGATCTTACCAGGCGAGTAGGCGTTCGCACAAAAAGCAATTATTTTTGCTAACTACATTTCGCTTGCTTCAACTGGGGCTTTTGGTTGGTTGTGTTCGTTGATGTTTTGAAAATTTCGTTTATGTCATGACATTGAGGTTGGTGAACTTTGATATTCACTTGCATTCATAAACATGATATTTTATAATTCCAACTTGAATTTATTGCTGCCTTTTGTAAAACATTTATGAGTCATCAATGTGCTTGATTCAGTACCCAAATCAAGTTGAATAGGTAATGCGCGAGATCATAAAAGGTCCCCTCGTTTATTCACGGCAGGTTCGTGTGAAGTGGGATATCTGTTAGGCGTCATATAATTTACAAAGTAGACTTCACTGTTGTATCGTCTTGAGATTTAGTCACCAAGACCAGAAAGGCAAATGGAAATGTCGACTTTCTTGAAGATATCTTCAGGTCAGTTTAATGGCTCTGGTTCCCTACTCTCCATTGTTGTGTTTGAGTTACTTTGTGTATACTCACGTGTTTTGTACAATTACAAAAAAAACCACGAATGGACACTCAGGATTAAGGGAATAAAGTTGTTTGGACACAATGAACAAATAATTACACTGACACGCGATTTTACTGTCAGTGATGCATTAAATTTGATTTCAATCACTGGTGTGCTCATTTGAAGCAGAAGAAACAAAGGATAATACGTTGGTCATTTTGACTTCATTTTATTTCGATGAAAGTTGGGGAAGGAGTTACGTGAATTGAAATCTTGTTAGAGAGTGTTGTAAAAACACCGTGTGTACCTCCCTACACTTCGGTAACATACAACGCCGCATTAAGCACCGCAACAACAGTTTCAACCCAACCACATGGATATCAGTAGACTGAACACAAATACTTTCCAATTTCTACCACGTCGTATGCTGGCTGTCTCGTTAGGCCCGTCAGTGAGACATCCGATTTATTGATTTTTAGACGACAATATCCAATCAGGAGGTACACATTTAACATGGGGACTCTACTCGCCAGCAATGACGTCAACTCAAAAGTTAGTTCAGCAGCATTTCTTGGCAGGCCTTGTATTGTGGGCATAGTAGTCAGTAATCCAGTTACATCAGAGATTGCTTCATTGAATTGCTTCAATGAAGCAGTCATAACTGTCCAAGGTTGGACAACACACTACGTCATAAATTTTAGATCACCGTGGCCTGCTACCTGAGTGTGAAATTCTCTACACAACTGTCGTCTGCAAGCATTACCGTGAAGGGCGTCTTGGGATACCACATCGTGACAGCAGCCATTGCGCTTTCAAGCTCATCCAACGCCTATCTTGGAGAGCCGTTCGACAATGACGTGAGTAGTGATTTGCTGCTGTGACATCTTGCTGTGATTGTTGCACTACAGTTGGAATGTGTAAACTACAAAAAACGGCAAAATTGTGGAGAGTTTGTTGACTAATTATTCATTTATAACCAGAGGTACGAAAGCATGCTTATAAGGAAAAAATGTTGACACCAAATGATAATAACTTAGTGAGCATTGGGAACAACGATATGAATCAATACGAAGACACCTTCTATCTCTAAACGATTTGTCTTGTGCTTACTGTCATTACTAGGACATTTCAGTGTCACTTGTGGGACCGAATGTTACCGAAATGATGTCCAGTGAATACGAGTCCCTCAGATTCGCCTTCTGTTCAGAACCCGAAATGTACTTCAACAACTTGCGTTTTGAGGTCTACTCCGAAGACGATTCTCACGATGAGGAAATTCTCACAATGTACCTTCTGTCGTATAGTGCTTCTGTGAACTATCCAGGTCTTCGTTTTGCTGTGCAGAAGACATTGATGGATAGAAGGAAGCCTAGTGGTGAGGTTTGGCGTCAAAGAATATCGCTTGGACCAGTGTTTAACTCTGGTAGGTAAAGAGTCATCTGCTTTCTGTTGCATGGTTCTTTCACCTCTTGTTCCATGTAGGTGCATCCGAAAGCTTAGGTTGATTGAGATTGCTTGGTTTAGCAACTAGAGAACCCCTAATGCTGTATTCTATTGAACGCGGTTGTTGTGGTCAGAGCATGGACGACTGAATTTGAGCCTAGCGCCTATAGCAAATGCGTCTGTAGATATTAATATTCAATTAAATGTTAACGTTTAGAAAAACAGTAGAATTAGAGCAATCAAGTCACGAACTGAAAGAGTTAATTACGTAACGCGAATGGTGAAATGTGAAGAATGCGTAGACTCAATTAGCGTCGCGGAGCATGACTCTCAACGTACCGTAAAATTTAGGCGTTTGTTTCAAGACCGTGAGTTCTGTATTGAAATTTGCAGTCTGATTTTCGGAAAAAATCACAGATGGACCCCTTTTGTTTGTGCCAGGCTATGCTTACCAGTTGGATCAGCAGAAGCCAGAACCGGACGCTGACTGCATCGTCTTAACAGCGGAGATTCAGCTGACAAGCGGTCGAGGCGCTAACGTTGGAAGCAGACATCATGTTGTTGCGAAAGCCATTATTAATGACAAGATAGAAATAACAAAGCGAACAATCATTGTCGTGCGAGAACATCCCAGGCCATTCCTCCTCGTGAACCTGGGATTGGTCAGTCCGCCCGTCGTGAATGTGTGGGTTGCAGTATTATAATCTACTTACTTGTTGGTTAGTCAGAGTGTCCTCCAAAACAACAATTCGTTTCTACATAAGTGAACCTGGCGGCCTAGTCCCACGGTAGAATAAATAAATGTTAATGATTGTTCCATGTTGCTAGTGGCACTGTGGGAAGCATTCTACATTAGAAATGGTCTGCCAGCTGATCCCCAGAGAATTTGGACATGCTTTAGATGTTGGAGGGGATGACGTCTGCCACTTGCCTGATGCTTTTCATGGCATTGCCAAACAAGCACAAAATCAGTTAGGGTGCAAAGGCCTCGTGTGCGTTTAAGTGTTATGCACGACATTAATTGGAGCGTGAAAAATAAGTTGCATCATCAATGATTCAGGTCAAAAATATCGAAAGGATCTCATGATCCAGTCACTCGCAAAGGGCTCTCCGGTGAATCGTGAGGATTCACATCGGTTAACTCAGTAGTTGCGGCCTCGTACACACGTTTGCTTTTCATGACGTGCCCGGCAGCCGCACGCGACCGCCTGTTCATTCACCCCTAGGCATGTACCATCACTACCCACGCTATCCAACACACCACTCAGATGTCCGAACTTTTACCAACAAAAGCAGATGAGTCAGGCACTACCTTTACTCCACGCACGCATCACAACTTGATTGACCTATCTCGTAAGTGGTTGAGCCTCGACCTCTCCCACCTTCTCTCCATTTCGCGGGTACCAGGGTAGCGTAAGCAGGCTGGATTCAACGCAGTGGCCCCGACTGCTGACCTCAACGTGATAGCCCACCACAGCTAAAAGTGCTGATGTGTAGCACCGCCTTTCACTGAGCGTTAGTCTTGTGTGCTACGCACGCGTATCTGTGAGGTGAATTAAGCGTCGACAGCAGATAATTATGTCTTCATTTTACAGCAAATTTATTAGAATGTTAAATAAAACAGTTTTTAGCATAAGCATATCACTTTGCAGCCTCCTTCATTTACAGGGCATCAACACAGCCAATTTTGGACCACTAACTTCATAACCTTTTGAACCATCTGTGCACTATGCCATTTACTTAACTACTTATTTTAACTACCAATTAATTCTTCTTCACCTTCAAAATTTTCAATAACTGCCACACTGTAACACAAAATCCATTAATTGACAATCCTCTAAATCAGCCATTGGTAGACTAAATATCGTTTTGAAAATTTGAATCTGTTAACTAATTCTTCGAGTTCTATGTGTGGACCCAAAGTTCCACTCTCAACCCGAAGCATTGGTTAGGCAAACTAATTTTAAAGTGTATTTTTGGTTGAGTAAATATTTATCAATTTTTCAAAAAACGTACTTATTACCTATATGTTGGTAAGGTCTAGTTCACATCTTACTCCCGACCTTTAGAGTATTCGGTAGGATTGCACTACTAATAATTGCTTCTAGTGCAGCACTGTACTCACCTTACTTGCATTACCTGATTTTGTGGCTCTCTTACCTTTGAAGGAGAGTGTTCTTTGTGGACGTCCATGCACAGTTATCAGAGCAATCAACACTCGAGTGTCACAAAGCCTCCTTCTGGCTCTTGCATGGTGGAATGTTTACCGTCAATGTGGCAGCGGCAGTGGATTTCATCAGTGCCAGAGTTAATCTCGTTCCAGTGTCCAATGGAACAGGTGTTAGAGTGTTTGACGTGAGTCATTGAATTGGATTACATTTGTCAGTGCGAAACTGATTGATGACATTTAAATTTACCTACTTCTGCGGAAACCAGAGCTATAGTTAAAACATGTTGTTGAGCGAAAGCCGAAGAGGAGAAGAATCTTTTGAAAATGAAAGAGAAACGGCTTGCTTAAAGATGAATCTGATCTTCTCAGCAAAGTGACATTTCATTCTCCCCAGGTCCGACTGTATTTGCCTCTGATAGGTAGTGTGAATTAGCAGCGAATTAGTCACATAGCATTGATTTAGAGCTAAAGTATATCCCAGCTGATGTTTAGACCCTTCGAACACTGTTTCGTACAGTAGTGTAATGCAGAGGAGCACATGCATGCTGTGTTTGGAAGCTGGGTGATTAGTTACCTCAGCATTTCGCCTTGTTGGTAAAATCAATAAATACCTGAATGAATGAACTAATGAGATAGTTTTTAATGATTTTAACAGGGCGGCATTTACTTTGGTGTGAGTGGAGTCATTCGACTGGTACTCAGGCCACTGCCACACGTGGAGCTAGACAAGGACGTTAACGTTGACGTGGGCGGGATTTTGCGGTGTTACACATACAGGCGACCGCAGGATAACCGCGACCCCATCTTCAATCCGCCAATCTACTTCAGCCAGACGGTGCGACTAGTTAAGGCTGCAGGTGGTACGTTTCAAAGCATCAATGTGCACTGTTTTGAGGGCATATGTCGAGTGCAAAGTGCCGAGTCTAAGTAGGTAGAGGCAACATGGTTGCAATTTTTGACGTCCTCCCTGACTCAATCAAGGCGAAGTCAAGAAACCTCTCCGCAATGTGGTTTGGCATTCAAGCAAGACACTAACTGATTACTCGTGGCAGTCTGTGAGATCAGTTGTGGTCAAAACGAATCCATCCAAAGGCAAAACACGTTTTATGAATGATAGCATGAATTAGACTGTATCTTATTGTCTTGCTACCTTATAAGACTGTCTCTATGTCCATAGGTTAAATGTTGGCCGAATCATTTGACAGGTTAAATGTCAAATGCCCTATCATTCACTCTCGAGATCCTGGCTATCAACGTTCCAAATGTAGCTCACAACCTGGGAAACCAGAATTGCTATTAGATATCTGACTTTAATTCTACTCACCTTGCAGTCATTAGTGGTAAATAATGTTAAGACAACGGAGACGCAAGCCCAACCATCACGCCTGTGTCTAGACCCATTCTGTAGAGTCACGTGACCAATATTGCTGCCTCAGCACTTAGCACTTTGCATACATGTGTGCACACATCCCCACTAATATTCAAGACATCGTAATTCGCAGTTTTATCCGTCTTTAAGCACTTGCTCCTTCTAAAGTGCGTTTATCTACAAGGCGCATCGTCGGCTATGCCGACTTTTCTACCTTGGGCAATTGTGCTAGTTGTAGAACATTGTAGCGACTGCGCCTACTTGAGGCTGAAGCCCTGCCAAGTGAGGGTGTTTGGCGTGAGAGGGGATTTTGCGGACATCCTGCTCCATTCCGATAACCCCACCAGACATTGGACGACTCACGCCAGGGGCGGTTACCACGGCATCTTTCGCACCGTGACTGTTCTCTTTGGACAAGTGGCTCACATCAGCGCTATCACTGTTAAAATCAAAGAGAATGGAAATAAGCCACGTTCGATGGTTCTCGATGGGACGCGAGACGGCAAGTCATTCTACTTCCTCCGTAAGGTGAGACTGAGTATATACTGACGCGTGCCTTTATTCAAGTTTAAACCCCATCGTTTCAAATTTTATCAGTTTATTTCCATTAGAGTTGTAACTTATATTGATTAGCTTCCGTATACGAGTAAAGGCACGTGCCACTGTTTTGAGATCTAGCTGGACGTCATGCGGTGATGGGTTGAATGGACCGTAGTTTTTGTCCACGTCTTGACCGCATGGATTGATTTCAGGTGAACGTAATGTTTCAAATGACCTCGCCGGAAACTAATGTCACCTTCGACACTCAGCCAGGCGTGCGTGGTCTTCGAATAACACTTAGTGATCTCGTTGATGAAGACGAGGTTGTACACCTGAAGATGGGCTTTTACGGCTGGTTGGAATCAAAAACAGAGAAAGATTTTGGTAGGTCTTTAAACTATCAAGTAGACTTCAATTTTGTTGAAAGTATGTTTGACGGATTCAGTGGGAACCTCGAGTTGCATCACTTCTACACTGAGCCACTAGTTTACAATTGTCGCGGATCGCGTTAAAAGAGAAAGTGGTGCGACATAAAACATTCGAATTCATACAAAGGCTGGATTTGGTTCGGCGTGATATCACGTTCCGACGTGCGAAATTTCATAGTTAACAACAACATTGCCAGTAGGTGCTTACGAAGACTCGCTGCACTGTATAACTATGCGAGAACTGATGCAGACAGCCACGAAGGGGCACACAGTGCATTTTGCTGGCAATACAAGCCCAAAAAAGAGACCCACTGACCTTAGTGCTTTATTTAACTATCAAGATCCATGCAGAGTGCAGACATCGGGCTGTTCGGATGGACAGTGTGCAGCATCAGTGGCTCTTCGAAGCTACGTTGCTGGAAGGGACTTCATAGTCCTCTGTGATCTAGTCCCGGATGCACTCGTAAAGAACCAAATCCATTCCACCTGCTTCCGCGCTTTCGACAGCGCACCAACCAGATGGCGCGGTAAGTCGTGTTTCATCGTCATGGTTTCAGCATGGTTCTACACTAGCACGTGTAAGTGTTGTGGATTACCTATGGTACCGGCACAGTGTGGAATGAGGACATTTACTATCAAGCCAGTTACTCAGCAAATATTTCTCTCGTGAGCGACACCTAACATGGCTTACAAAAAACTTAATGTTCCTTTCATTCATCATCGTAATTAGCTTCAGAGAATCCAAAAATTGATTGCCTATTTGTGTCTATTCATGGGTGGTGCAGCGTTTAACAGCAAGATATCATGCACCAAGTGGTTGCTGTTTGTTCCTTCTTATTTGTTTACGGACTCACTGAGGAATTTCAATGTACACAAAGCTGGCGACCACATACATGCACTTGGCAGTCATAAGGAAACTATTCAATACACGCTCAAGATATTGTGAGCTGTTCAGGGCAGCAGGACGATGTGGCGAATGCGGGTGGTGTGCCTACACTCGCCCTCAGATCATGCGTAAATCCGCTTAGGCATCAAACGCATGGCTTGGTGTTTCTGGTCACGGATGTGTCTTCATTGGGCGTTAAATTTTGCACACAGTACAGTCGACAGTTAGGGTATCAGCTAAAGTAGCGTGTATCACCTAACGTGTTCACTTGAGAACTGACCTGATACATTTATCCAGATACCTGACCATATAATTTGACAGCTTCTAGCTGACCTACTATCTACTAGCAGTAAGCGAATTGACTTTATTTTTTTTTAGATTTGGATAGCCGCATTGCTCACGTAGTACATTACATCCCAAAGGAGAATGTGCTGTTGGCCACATCCGGCTGTGGGAAAGAGTTCTTCCTGAGCAAGAATTCTGGTGAAACATGGGTTTCAATCGATCGTCGACACTTTCTGTACTGGAAAACGTACCTCGACACACGCCCCATGGTATCCATTCCCTGGACAATTCTACCTCCAACTTTTCAGCCGTTATCAACAGGTCCAAATTGTACAGCTTATCAGGTTCGACAGTGGCACTGTGAGTTCTCGTTGTGAAGAATCGATTTCTACCTGGTGTTGTGAATAGAACCATGTATTTTCGTTGACACATTCCCGCAGTTCTAGTTAAAAGGCAGCAATGTTCAACCTGATTTGTGGCTAGAATCTACTGGTTCTGTCTTGCAACCGTACCATCAATCAAGTCAACAAGATATGTGTGCCTGATTGTGCATTTGTGGTGGCCAAGGAATACAAAGTTTTGGAATGTAAAATTTTGGTTAGGATGAGTAATGTGTCCATGCTGGGTTAAAGTCCTAGATGATAGTGTATATGGAACGGATTCCTCATTAAGTCGATTGTTTTAATAAAAGGCAGCATATGACGGCAGAGCAGCAAGCTTTATCCAAATTGTGCGATATCTAATGCAAGGGAAGTAACTCGATTCTATTATGGGCTGTAATTGATATTCACCAGCCAAGCTAGTGCATTACGGTCGAGAGCAACAGAACTGCACAATGTATCAACAGCAAGTAGAGTTATGCAAGCAATGTTATGCGAAACATTCAGTGTTAGCTGCCAAATTTTATCATGTTAAATATCTGATAGCACGTTTCATGGAGTTAATGTGAATGCAAATTATGCTGCTAATGAGGAGAACAAGGCACATGTCGTTTTCCTGGCTGGTAGCACGAGTTAAACTTACTTATGCCGTGATCCCAGATGTTCTCAGGCATGGAAAACTGTTTGTGACAGCCACAATAGTTCCGTTAATTGTGGTGTTAACGTAATCCCTACAGGCATTAGCCGCAGATACGATAGCCACACAACGTACAAATGACGCCATCAAATGTCTTTTAAATTTAAACTGCAGTTCCGTCTGCTTATCAACAACCACCTTGAATACTATCGGGTTGAGGGCATTGCACAAATATAGGAAATCGACTCGCACAATTTCTCGAATATTTGTGATAAGTATTCAGCATCTTCGAACCAATATTTCAGATGCTGTGGACAGTTTATGCACACCACTTGTTGAGCTCATACTGGCCGTCCACTTCCTGCTGGCTTGTTCACCTTTGAGTGAATTCTTTCTCTTACCCACACTCAAGGCCGCCAACGCCATGTATGTGAGTGGTCGCATGTGAACGTACACTCGACACTTGTCTGAGACAGCGAATGTTTTCGGCACGCGCCCCAGTCTTGTCTTACATCAACGTAGGGAGTCACTGACGCATAGGTGTCTTGTTTGTGTCCTTGTGTGGTTACTTCTACAAAGTGCTAGCAAAAGGGTTATGATTATTTTGAGGTTATAAAGTTGTGCATCTTTTATCAGGAAAAAAACACACTTGTAGAAAACTCACCTGCACTTACTTTGCATCTAGTCTGCTACGACGGCGTCTACCATGGCAACAGACGTGTGGTAGACTGGAACGATTGCTGCCAAATCTGAACCTCGGCCAGGACGAGAGGAGGCGCGTCGGTTTCTCTAAACAGCCTCATGCGTTGTCTCGAGATGTCAAATAATACACTTACTTTGAGTAAAGGTTGTTTAGTGTGTTTCAAAAAGGGATGTTTGTTTGGTCCTAATGTTTACGACCACTGGAATGCCAAGAAAGTGTCTTTAGATGTTACGCTAGGTGAATACTTTGTTTGGTTCTGAACGTGTGTCACTCAGATGTGTGGCTCCATTGTTCAACTGTGGCCAAATTTGTTGTGGTGGCGGAAGTGACAGACAACAGCGCGTCCAGAACTCCAATATGCCAAGCAAATTTGCCTTAGTGACGTCTGTCGCACAAATGTGCACAAAATATTCATCGATGTGCTGCTGAAATAGTCTTGTTCAACTCATGTTGGAAAGGTTCAACGCAGGACCTACAAATGACTGACACGAAATCACGCAGCAACTTGCAGCAAATTGGCTACGGTTTGGAAGTTGCGGCACAAGGAGAACCTGATTCACGATAAAGCCACTACCGACTATATTTCAAATTAATGCAAGGCGTTTCGGTAACAAGTGAAACAATGTACTTATTTGGTACCAGGCTTTAATTGAACTTAATGTGTAATCCGTCATGAGGAATACTGTATTGCCTCACTACTGGTGCAAAAATCAGTAGGTTGGACTGAGTATCAACGAGTCCACTAAGTGGTCAAGTGCATGTTAGGCTTCGATTGTCCAGTTACCAAATCGCCACGTCAAAATGATAGGCGACGAGACATATAAATGTTATCATATTTCACATCAGTTCATCGCAGCTTCTAAAAGACTCATTTCTGGAGCTGCGATTGGTATCTGAGAGAGAAAGGTGGCAGATTGTGAAGCAGTCAAACGAAAAACAAGGGACAAAGTTCTAGATTATGATAAAGCTGGACTAATTTTACCAGATGGTAGGATTATTAAACACAATTCGACGTCTTGATTAAACGCATGCAGAACTCCGAAGCAAACTCCACCGGACATAGTGGTTTTCGTCAATCATTTGCGTGCGTGCTAAAATGAGTTTTGACTGCATTGCATTACTCACTGTCACAGACGGAAGCCCATTAAAGACATTCTGAAGTGCAACTGGGCAAAAACTGCAGCTTATTTGATTAAGAGAGCATTACCGACAGGCGTGAGCTCTATTTGCGATTGAACTGCGCGATTGAGATTTGCTGCGGACAAACCACGAGTGTCCTTAACAAGTACATGCAGCTTGCGTCTAAGCGCTGTCCGCATGTCAGCGCGAGTATTCCAAGCACAAGCAGGCCAACTGCTCGTGATTTCAATTCCTTGATTTCCGTTTTACTGATCACGCAACGATCGCTGTAATTTTATTTGACTACAATCGCACCAACCACGCCCGTTCGTCCTGATGCACTAGCTGGCATTTTGGCGCACAACAAGAGGGCTAGGCGCATCTTGGTCACATGAGTGCTCATTAAAATGGTTGTGAAATCTACTAACACGATTGTCATCGTCAATTTTTGTGCAATTCTTGTTGTGAAATTCAACTCTGGCCATCCATTTCTGCGTTTTAACGCCCGACTTTATAAGATACTTTAGTTTCTGGTTTCAAGTGTTGGCTATAAGTAGTTAGTTAGTCAGTATTTAGCTACAAATGTATCGACTGTGCAGCACTAATGTTATCAATTAAACCATGGAGCGAGAAAACCCATAAGGTCACTTAACCTCACCACAACGTCATTCGTTACACTCACCACTTCAGCAGCCCTCAATCGGTGATGCGGGTGATGGGGATATTTTCGATATTACCACAACATCTTGAGATCCTCCATTTACTTCATCATCTTTAATTCCAGTCCACATATGCTGGCAGGCTGACAATTATGGCCACACCTAGAGCCCAATTATGAGCCATGAAAGCATCAAACATGAGCACTTGTCATTAGGCCATCACCCACATGCTGCTGAAGCAGTCGTGAAAGCTGGTCTAGTGTCACGCCCGATGATCGAGAGCGCAGCTAAACATCAACAGCCATCACGCTCTTGACGTGTCCTCTTCTCTCTTTCCACGAAGAGGATCAGTCAGTTACGTCGCAAGGGTCTTAATGAATCCTCTCGTAGAAATGCTATGAGAGGCGTTGGCTCCATAGGCCATGATGTAACCCTACACAAGAAGCTACTTCCAGCCAACTGACGGAGCCATCACAACAACTGCAAATAATCTCTTTGTCTCATCAGTCGCATTTGATAGTGTAAAAATACCCGAGCTCTAGTGTGAAAAAGACTGGTACAACAGAACAGGCTGTATTGACCAACCAAAAGCTAGAACCACACGTTGGGCGCCGTCCATTTGAGTCCACCACGCTGGCCACGCCGCTCATTCTATACTGCTTCTTGTTCGTGTCGGTCAATGGTTGGCTGCAGAGCTTTCTCACATGCCATTGGAACGGAGAGAGAAAGAGGATTGCCTGAGGCCAGGGTGGTTCAATATGTCTGCGCCCTCAGACGTCGCGACAATGGTTTGTGCTCAACAATGACGACAAAATGTGATGGTGTCTGTAAATCGAAGTGCAATTTCAGTTTGGGTTGGCAAAGGTGGAGGCATTATCATGGGGTATAGCGGCACCACTGATGACGTCAATACCATCCACATCACCAATGCTAACTCAGGAAGAGGCAATCGGTCAATACGACTGTGCGCAGGATAAGGAGTAAAAAGAGCTTGTGAGGGATACTTCCAAATTATAGTGTTTTCTCCCATTTATGCCAGTTCCACTCTTTTGATGAAGGAAGAACAACGTCAGTGTAATTGGGAGGAATCGTCGTAGCCTAAATTTAACGCGATGCGTGTTAATAAATGTGTTATTGAACAAACATTGTTTCACGATGAGCTCCTGAAATGGCAGGGTCAAGTGGTAGGTGGAATTGTGTAAGTTTGGGTGACACACGTTGACGTTGGATTTGCTCATTGGGTATTACTGCAACATAATTTGGTTAATGAAGGTGATGGCGCTCCAAGCACTTGCCTTAAAACCAAATTTAAAAAATTGCAAGCCAGCGAATTTGTTGTCGAGCAAAATGTGTGTTGTAAGAGGAGTGCGTTGTTGAGAGTAGGGATATTGTGTGGAGACGTGTGATTAGTTCAGTTGGCAAACTTGACAAAGGTTGTGCCAACAAGGTCGTTCTATCGTAAAAGGCTGTTCATAAAGTCATGTTAAAATTGTCTTCGTGTGGGAATCATCCTGGCACACCATATGATGGACGTAATAGACCTGAAGCAACCCCGGCTTGATAATTTCATACCAACAAAGTAGAATAATACAGGTTAAGAATTTAGTGAATTATTTCTGCTCGTGTAGGAGCTGCGCTTGCACTAAAATCATGGCTGACTTTATTCGAACTTTGCCTTAAGTATTTTGATTACAAGTGAAACAATGCATTCATTTTGCAAACAACGCAAAAATTATCCTTGTGTGCACAGAAAGGTATGCAGAAGTAAGACGGCGTGTTTATACAGCAGCTTGATAAGTCCATACCCACAAAGTGAAATAGAGTCAAAGATAATCAGTTGTCAAAATATGCCCAGGATTTCTTAAGAACACAAACATGCGGTTTTATCTCAGAGTGGTCTATTCAAATAAATTTTCTCATTTTTAATTTTTTTCTTTTTTTTGTATTTGACGATTTTTTGCGTACATACCAAAAAATTTACAACCAATTGCATTTTGATGTTGGTCTTGAACTATTCACGCCCCTGACACACCTTTGCACATTTATTCCAAAATGAATAAAAATACGTTAACTTATCAGCAACGTTTTCCTCAATATTAAAGAACTAAAAGTTATAATTCAGTACAATAAACAAATATCGACATTGATTTGTGTTTTATTACTCCACTAAGCGTCCTCAAGCGTTGCGCATTTTGTACACCCAAGGTTAAACCTGTTGTTGCCATTTTAGATAGTTTGGGTGCGTTATGGCATTTTTGCTTACTTTCTATCATGAGACATGATGTTAAGTCTTTTTTAACTGGCAAACACTCGTGGACATGGACGTTAATGTCTCGGAATCAATTGACAATCCTAATAGAACTGACCTAGCAAACAGAACTGTGCACATTGAGACCAACCAAAAAATCTAATTCGTTTATGCATCTCGAATTAAAGTCAACCTAAACGCCACCTCGTGTGACAGCAGTCACAGCCGTTTTATTGCTTGTCACTGCGTATTCGCTTTACTTCAAATCTGAGTCTGGATATGGCTTTATTTTCACCTGACAAATTGTACTGCATTTAATGAACACAGGTGATGTTTTCAAATCGTTGTGTGATTATAATCTTAATTCAAGGATTTTTTAAAGTGATTTATGACTAAAATATTGATAAAATGGCTGAAATGAATCCATTAGTATTGCAAGAAAGTATTCTTGAAAATGGAGAGTAATAATATCAACCCCTGAGATAAAACTTCGCTGAATGGGTATATGATTAAATTAGACTTCCTGAATCTCTGTTTTAGATAATTCAAACATCATCGACAATCGGAAATGAAAGCGAACCATCTCGTAATCGCATTCGTCGAAGCTGTGCCTGGACGAAGCGACGGTCTCAAGTAGTCGTCTTCATCATACTTTGGCCATGGTGAATCATCCTATTGTACCTTCTAGAATATGGTACTAACCAGTGCTATCCATCCTTAGGTAAACGGCAAGGAAGGACGCTACCGTCGACAACTCCGAGTTTTGGCCATATCGTCCAGGTGTTACAAGACTGTAAAGGCAATCCATTGGCCCACCCGTCGTGATTTCCTACGGCTGCGTGGCGGAGAGATCTGTGTGGCACAGCGTTGGTAGACACATTAATGTGGTCACAACTTTGAACCCCTTTGCCTCTATTTGATTGGTTTCTCTGACCCCATTTTCACTACAATTTATCAAGTTAATTAACAGGATCACTAGGAATTAATTTGTCATAAATATCTACTTAATAAAAAGTTCTGCGACAGCCGTGGGAGCAGCAGCAGCAGAATGTGACCGTCGGGCTCCAATTTGTGGAATTCAGTGGCTGCATGTGCCAAACTGCACATCTGGTCGTGTGTGATTGTGGCTGGCTTCACCTGTCCACCTTCAACCAAAGCAGGGCAAAGTATTAATCAGAGGGAGGAAGTCGACGCAAAACAGGAATTGAAATGGGAAAGTGAGGAGAGGACCAAACTTTAGTGCTGCTCCCTAACAGAAGCAGACTAAATTTGATGAGTCTGTATTGTACAAAAGTTCTCCCATTTGAAATGCTTATAGGCTGATCCTGGGTGTATGGAAAAAATCAGATCTGTTTCTGCATAATGGTGCATTAGTGTAATGCTGCTTGGCAAATATTTGGTGTCACACCAAGTTCGGGCATTTTTTAATGGAAGAGCTGAACTTGAGAATCATGGCAGATGGTAGGGGAAAATATCCGATAGGTTGTGTGTGTTTGTGTGACAAACTCTGCCTGCATTTAGAGAGAATTATCTTCCGCTAAAAGTTGACTTGGATGGATGCATCCATTGACGGCTTTCGTTCGCGACTATTATTCATAGATGAGTGAACGTTGGTACATTTGAATGCCAGAGAAGCTTGACAAATTAATTCGATTTCTGGAGAGAAGCTACTTCTATCTTTTATTGGATCTGGCAAAATGGAGGTTTTTGTTGTGTTGTATTTATCTACTACAAAAAGGATAATTACATGAAACGAGCCTAACTGTTCTTCTCCGTTGCTCAGTGGTTACGGAGCACTTTGATCCAGTGTGGTTAGCTGCTGAGTTAATAGCATCTCACAAGGCGACATAGTAATTCGTCAAATTCGCAAATCAATTTGAATGGGTTCCGTTCATGCCCCCCCTTCTGCAGATAGCTCGTGTCGCCTTTTATTATCGCCCACCGACACCAAGAGACCCGCGGCATTGCTAACTGCCCTCAGCAAGTCTTCACCGCAAACGGAGAGGCCCACTGTCTGGCCAAATAAAACATGAGAGTCCAACTGAATTCGATTTCCGTCAGCAACGCCTTATGAACACTGATTTACTAGTTCTAGAGTTATTGATTTCGATGGTCTGTACTTTTTCAGTGCCCTCTTAAGCCACGGCGTTAAATCTAGGCCGGCAACCCTCCCTTGATATCTGCGAAGATGAAGAAGACTGGAGAGAGCAATGTTCGACAGTTTACCAGGTAGCTCAACAAAGTTGTGCTGTGCCGTGTGCGTACATTAGAGGTATCACATTACGCGTGTTTATTGGTGACGGATACAGTAGTGTGAACTAGTAGAAATACAAACGTCTGAAGGCGAACACGGATGCAGGGGTAATAGTAGTACAATCAGAGGAGTAAATGATCTGGTGGGGCCGCGAGACTGACCGGAACGCAGCGAAAAGTGGGACGGGTGTGTGAGGCTGCATTGACGCAAGGGCTGGTAAATTACAATTTACCCGTGTTCGAGAAGAGCCATTGGTAACTTTTCGGTAGCATTCAGATGACCTTGCTACAGCTGCTTTTCGCCACTTTAGCTCCTCACCAATGGTATCATCGATTGAGCTCAGAATGCAACTTCAAATGGAAAGATCGATTCTTCCAACGCAGAACAATCACCTGCGAATTTGGTCTACTACTGCTGCCAAGTTTACTATGTGCATTATTCGACTATGCAAACAATGGTGAGCACAGAGACGCTGATAGCTCTGCTGGGCGTTTGTCTTGTGTCACTTCTTCTTCCACCATATTGGCCAATGCTTGTGCTGGGCATTGCAGCCCTGTACGCATTGGGCTTGTGCCTCAGTCACGAGGCCACCCGCGGACAAAGTGACGCAGAGACGTCCGCAATAATGGATGCGGAGAATGGCGAGAATGAAGATTACGAGGTGGGTAAT